CCGATCTCAGCAAGACACAGCCCAAATGCAGCCGCTTCTTGCAGGAATATGGTGCAAAGGACCAATACTCGAAGACATGCCTCTCGGATCATGGGCAGCTCATTCCGTAGCATCTCAGAATCATGAAAAGGGTCTAGCTTTTTTATGTAGTCAAGCTCATCCTCAGAGAAAGGAATAGAAGCCTGAGGCCAATGGATCCACTCAAAGTATGGGTCTTCCAGGTGCTCAGGCAAGCAAAGGCCATGATCAATAGGGATGAGCTCCACTTGGCCAAACCGCCCTAGTCCATCAAGCTTCCTAACTAAAAGGTTACCAGCATGCCTGTCAGTGTTAAAGATCCTAATATCCAATATTCCTATCCTATGTATAGCTGCAACTGGAAAGCTTGAAGTTCCATAGTCACTAGCATCATAATTATGAGGAATAAACTGCTGCAGAGATGCAATCTTGCTAACCTTCATCCCATCCTCAAACCAGTTTCCATTTACACTATCATTCACATTAAAGACAGAGTGAGTAACTTTTATAAGAGCAGTTGGGGGCACATTGGCAAAGTGATTGTAGTCTAAAAGATAGGCAGCTACTTCTCGAAATCCTGTTTCACCAACTCGAATTGAAGGTTTCAAGCCTGGATATCCAAGGGCCTTACCTACAAAACCTTTGGGGTTGTTTGGGGCAAATGGCTCCTCATCTGTCGGCTTCACAATGGCAGCATTCTCCCCTTCGCTGTTCCTAAAAAAATAGGCTCCACCAAGGCCACTGTGAATGGGGATAGGATCAACACCGTTCTTGATCGCTTTCACAATGTCCTCAACTACTTCTTTTGCTTTGGCAAAACGACTTGAATGCCCCAGTATCTCAATGGCACCACTCTGATCTCCTTGTTGAGGCATCTTCGCAGTAGGGGTGAGACATGGAGTTGATGAGCTCCTATGCAAGCCATTTCTAGTCAGAAGAAGTGGAGAATCACTTGGAACGGCACTAAGATCATTGTTTAATGTAAGGTCGCCAAATGTCAAAGAACTCTCTTCAGTTGGTACGTTAAGGGCAAGTTGCATCCTCCTTTTCACAGTATGGGCATTGTCATTTCGGTCAAGCTCCATTCCCAACACACAGCCAGTCTCAGTCTGAACAAACACACGCCTCCTTCCTGAAGGTTTATCCACCAATTTTTTATTAAACTCTCCATTGCATGAACCACTGAAAACTCCCACAGCCATCTGGGTTTGAACAGGACTATCAAACTTATGAGACATGAAGTTTGTGAGGAAATACCAGGTTAGAGGCAACAAAAATGATGGCTGCAAAGAGATTCTTCCTCTATCGACCAGCCAACTAGGTGCCAAACTCCAACAACTGAGACCAATCAAACAACGGAAATTCTTTGGACTCAAACAACCATCAATCGAGCTTCACTCTGTCTTACTGCCCCTTATGGTGGTTCACATCAGAAACAAAGAGGCAGATATGGACAAAGACGGAAGAATAGCTACATCTGTAGTGAATCCATGTGAGAGATCTGCACTAGTACGGAGAACCAACATCAGCAAAAGAAGGCGGAGAGTTAGGTATCATGATATGCAAGGTTTAAAACTTTGTCTAAGATATAGTTTGAAGTCATAGACAACTTCAAGACCACAGACGTAGATGTATCCAATTAGTGGGTTGATCATATACGCATCAAACAGTACAATACAACTACAGTTATGACTTGTGAAGTTCCATGTGGAATTTCCATCAGGACTTCTGAAAAAAATAAACATCTTTCGTTTTAGAAGTGGCTGTAAGTATCCATACATAAAGATTTATTAATTTATATAATAATCTACAACAAAGCATCAAACAACCAGAAAGAAAGAAATAACAACTACAGCAAAAGAAACATATGAATTCAAGGAAAAAAAAGAATTGTTCTTGTTGCACATGTAAAGAATATCTAATCACGAGATCTCCCTTCGCGTAGAACCATTTGACAACAGTTTGTCTTCGCTGGTAACAGAATTTTTCTCGATAAGATTGACCGAAATCAAATAATAAACAAGTCTTGTTTGGATGACAAAAGAAATAACAACGAATAAACTAGAAAATAACAAAATTTTAGTTTTATCCACATAAACCGACACAGCACGCAGAGTTTAAAAACTTGCGTCGTTCCATTTAACACGAAACCGCCAAAGGTATCTTTACAAGCTTGGCCGTTCTCTTCCTTTTCATTTCCAGCATTTTCTCAGCAATCGACAGAAAACAGAACAATCCAGGATCCTCCGATCAACACATTGACGAACAATACATAAAGAATATCACATTTTATTAAGATTAAAACAACATTTCTAGTAAAGAACCCACATACTTCAAAGAAAAGTAGACTCGATAAAAGAAAATGCAAACAAGATTCAGAAAACGAAAGAAAGTAATTTCTCTCATTACTTTCATAAACATCCAAACTATAAACTCCAGTAAACCTTCACAAACGAAATACACGAGACGTATCAACCAAACTTAAGCCCCCTAACACCTTCGTTAGGACCAAAAATCTGACATTAAACTAGGATCAACAAAAAGAATCAAAGAACAAAAACCTAACCGATTATCGGAGAATCTCGAGCAAGGATCACAGGCAGAGAAAGGGAGGAGGAGACGGGGAGAGAGGATCAAGGCCGTCAGCGACGAGATGAAAAGTATGGAAGATCGACGGCTGAAACCGGGAGATGAAGAAAGGATCGACGGCTACGCATAGACCAGCATATCCTGTCAACCATGACCCTAAAACCTCTCGTTCTCTCTCGAGTATACCCTTGTGCTGTAAGTGTCCTTTTATACAATGAGGATAAAGGTAGAGTAACAGGGCGGTTTGCTCGCCAATTACCAGAATGACCCGAGGTTGACTTCTTTTGACTCTTTTACGTTTGACATATTTATAATAAATAAATAAATTAAAATACAAAATAAAAAGAAAATTTTAATTTGACTTCAAATTACAAGAACCATTTTTTATTTTAAATATAATATTATGATAATAAAAAGACAAACTACAAAATTATTGCATGAAAATCATAAGTAAATTTTAGTGCATTTAATAATATAATTTTTTTTTTTACTTTAATCAGCAATGTAGTTCACATTTTAAAGATAATTATATAAAAATATAATTTTTGTTATCACTAATTTTTATTTAAATATATAATAAAGTTTGACCTCAAACACATTATAGAAATAAATTATAAAATATAAAAAAATTATTAATTATAGTAGCACCAGTAATGATTATTTTGGTAATCGATTAAATAATATAAAATACATTTATTGTTCAAACTGGATCGTTTTTTTCTCCATACCTTATATGTTTATTGATTTAATTATCTATTTATATCTAGTTTTTAGATTGTATATACATATTTTTAGAAGTATATATTTACTAACTAATAAATAATTATTTATTTTAACTTTTAATAGATTAAATAAATAAAATTTGCTATTAAATTTTACGATCAAAAAAGTAATTATAAAAAAATATATTGATTACAAAATGAATTAATTTTAGGAATTTCTTTATCTTTTCACGTGATCCCCTGCGATTTTTTCGTAATAATCTCATCATAATGCATGTTTGTTTGCTGACGTTAGAAACAATAAGATATGCGACCTTAAAATGTTGTTATTTTCTATATAAATTCACTTTTGTTTGCTTATGTCAATCTCTATTTAACAGATAATAATATATTGAAATAAATAATATATTTGTTATCACTATTTCGAGATAAAAATACTAGATTAAATAAAATAGAGAAGTAGTTATCAATAAATAAAAATATGATGAGGGAGAAAATGAAATTGACGGAGGAGAAACATTAACGAGTAAGATCACAAACGAGAGTCGTATGGGAGTACAAAAAGAAATAATCATATGGCGGATTTAAAAATTTAGGTTTTAAAGATCTTAATTAGGGGTATGGTATGGTTTCTTTTTGTACTATATGGTTTTTATTGTAAGAATTAAAAATGTCATATTAAATATTACATCATCAAACAATGTCATTAACAGTATAATTTAACTATATCGAACGTGTAATATAAATTCACGTGATATTTTAACTTATATTGCTAACGATTAAGAACTTAAATAAATTTTTTTCGAAAGTACATTAGTTAAAATAATAAAAATAACATGAAATAATTTAAATATTTTAAAATATAATAAGCACTAAATTAAAATTTCAGCCTAAATTTATTTGTATTTTATGGTACAATATTTATTTAATTTTTACTTTTTAAAAAAATTAAAGACATTTAAGAGTATTATATGACATATATACAACAGCACATAACACATATAAAAAATAAAAATATAATTACAAGATAATTAATTTTGTATATTTGGAAATTAATTAGTTATTTTAACTTAATTTCTAAAAAATTATAAGAATAAAAAATTAATATTTATATATAAAGGGCATAAAGGTCAGTTTGAAAAATAAATATGTCCTTGTCCTGATTTTGGGGTAACAGTAATAAGACAATAAAAAGAGGCGCTGATGGGTAATGTAGCGAACAGCACATCAGAAAAATCTGGAACCTCGAACGACAACCGTCGGATCAAAAAGAGCAGGAGAAATCATGATGATCAGCGAGGAAATGTTTGAGAATTGTACGGAGAATCATGTAGGTGATGACGTGGAGGAATATGATTGGAGAAGTAGGTAGGAAAGTCACCGTCAAACAAGAGGCAACACTTGCTATCCGGTGACCGGACAAGCAGCAACAAATCCGGGATAATTGAATCAGCTGACCAAACACGATTTAGTGACAAGTCAATTTATAAATTAATTTCTCAATGTTTCCAAGTTTCATTTATTTTATCGGTACAATAAATAATTTATTTCCCTACTAAAAACTTTTATATCTTAACTTAATATAGATTTAAAAATAAATAAATTTTAATTTTTTTTTTCTATACATAGTCTCAATTAATTTCTACCCTTTAATTTATTATGATTATTTTAATGTCGATTTGTTGATATTTGGTAATGTTTCAAATGGGTTGGATTTGGTTTTATAAATATCTGCTATATATATTTATATAAATAAATAAATAAATAAAATATATTATATTTATTTAATTACTAAATATTATTATATATATAACAAGGAGGATGATTTTGAAATTCTAAATTAGTTTATGGGCCAAAAGCAAGAAAAATAAAATCTAATGGGCCTAATAGTAAAAGTATTTCCAAAATCTCAAAATCAAAATCCACCCCAAAACATTTGGACCCATTTGTCCATAAAAGGCCCCGTCTCTATTCATAGAAGCAAAATACCGATAATTTAAGGGGCATATCGGTAAATAATAGAATATTTAGGGATTTAAAAAACAATGCAATAGTTCACGTGACGGAAGCACGTGACGATGCCATGTCATCAAGGGGCCCCACTAAGTGACCCAGAAACGATAGGTCACTCGGGGGTAACGAAGAGAGCACATGCCCCCACTAAGTGGGTTTTATTTATGGGCCCAACCTTTCACTTTTTCCTTAAATTTTTTTTTTAATTATTATTTATTGTCCAATTGGCTATAATTTGTGGGGTCCACTTTTGCTTCCCCAACGTGACACCGTCACGAGACAGAGAAAAAAACGCACCGCTTCGTCTTCCAACACGTGCTATCACGCACCGTTTCGTGTTGGTCTTATATCATGCTTCGTTCCAATTCTGCCCCTACTTTTCCTTTTTATTCCAATTCTGCGCGTGCATTTGTGATCAGCATTATTTAATTATATTTTGTTTAATACGTTAACATTAAATTATTAATTATCAGTTATAATTTAGATTAAAATAAATTTTTAATTAAAATTACAGAATTATATAATTAATATTTAAAAAACTAACTCAAAATGCCGCCTCTAATTACTATACATATAAGCTGTATGTGTATATCTGAAAGTACATATGTATTTAGACGTTGTAAATATGTTATATATATATATAATATCTAACTACCTCCCTAAACTGTGTATATATATATATGTACCTTCGATGTGTATACATAAGGTGTATATATTAGAAAGGCGGTGGGGTATATATACAAATATAATATTGTGTGTGTGTGTATATACATATATATATAAGTACTTCCTTTGGAAGCTTTTTATGCAGCATTCATTGAGAGGAAGGAGAAAAAGTGTGGATGGGCCGGGCAAGACTTGAGTTTAATCGAAACGCAGACGGTGTGATTTGTTTCTTTTGTTATTTTACATAAATGCATTAATCTTTTAATAATTATTTTCTCTATTTTTTATTTATTCATAATTAATGATATTATTATATTTTTAATTGCAAACTCATAATTTTACATATTTAATAATAAATATTGAATTATTACTGACGAATTGGGTTAAAAAACCTTACCATAATTTCATTTTTGAATTTCGATGTTGATATATTCAAGATTTTTGGATTTACTTTCCCATATCGATATTGGTATATTCAAAATTTCCTATTTTGTTTATATATATAAAAACAATACAAGACTCACGTGCTTAAAATTCTTCAATAATAATTTTTTTATTTTGTCCTGTGAAAAAGCTATTAACATGACAAATCAAAACAAGGGGAACATGGCAATTGTTGCACGTAACAAACGGAAGAAAACGGACGCCAACTAACCGTAAAACCGTTGACAGAAATAATAACGACGTCAACGAGGATAAAGCGAGGGACTTGACGGGCGTCAGACGAGGTGATGGGAGAAGGTGGATCCCACCGCACGCGAGCCGGCAGGCAGTGTGGCAGATCAACGGCAGGGAATGGGCGCACGTGACTTGCTGCTCCCCTCTCACGTGCTCTACGTACGCCCACGTATTTGAACAAGTCACCAGTCATCCCCTCACCACCTCTCTCTACGGTCACGTCACGTAATGTTGTATTGGTATGCATATCACATGGCGAATTATTTATTTATAAATGAATTTTTATAATTACTAATTATACTTATTTTTTAAATAAATGCAATTACATACGTAATTTCGAATATATAATTATTATAAAGAAAATAAAAAAAATATAGATATATTTTTTTTTCAAAAAAGAAGGTGGTAATTCATTATCTTTTTTAGAATAGAAAAAGGGAGAGGAAAACGGGATCGTGTAATATTTGTGGGACCCGCAATTATAGAACGGTGAGTTGGCCACGTGATATGGGAGGCTGAGGATGTGGTGGGCAGACATTTTTAATCACGTGATGCGATGCGGATTCCGCGGGGAAACTGACACCTGTAAATTTGAATAATAATTAAAGGTAATTTTAATTTAATTAAATAATAAATAAAAGCGTATTATCCTAAGACACGCGAAAAAGAATAGATTGTTAACTGATCCCTAAACGGATTCCCCTTAACAAGAGAATGTCCATGTTACCGGGAAACTCTGTTACCACCTTTTTAAAAAATATATAAAAAAATAAAAATATATTTTTTAAAGTTTATATATGTTATATTAGTATTTCGTTCGTTAATGTCTTAATTAATACTCAATAATGGAGATTATGGATAAGTACATTTATTTATAGGCTAATTACGGTTGTTGGAGTATAATTATTTAATGAATAAATACAAATGTCAAACAACCCACCCAACTTGATAATTTAATTAAACCCAAACAAGCACTTACCCATGAATTATAATTAGATTATTTAAATTTTAACTAATTATATATTTACCTTGCACTTAAGGGGAGTATGAGTTAAAGTTTGTGGATGGGGACGAGGAGAGAGTTAGGTTGGGCCAAAATCCTAAATAGTGAATGTAAGTCGTCCTTTTGTGAAAATTGCACGTGAGTTGCTGGGTCAACTCACGTGGCCCACCAGCTACATCCGTGACGACAACCGTGAAAATGACCTCACATCGCTTTTCACGTTACTCTCTCTCTCTCACCCTCTATTGCAGTCAGTCACGTGACTTCCGGTACAATTCAAACTTTACCAACACACAACAAAACAACCACTATACACCATTATTATTATTACTGTTTTACGGTATCAAGTAAATATATATGTATATATATATTTTTTACATTTGTAAAAGTAAATAGTAAAAATTACATTTTTTTGAATAATATATAATGGAAAAAATATTTTATTATTATTATTATTATTATTGTTTTTTTTTTTTTACTTTACGTGTAAGGTGAAAACTTTGATATTAAATGGTTTAATCCTTTTGACGGTTGAAGAATGAAAAAGAATATCACCTAATGCCCACAAGAAAAATAAATGAAACTTGAGACTTTCAAAGCTTAATTATTCAATATAACATAATATAATATATATATATACATATAGAGGAGAATGTGATTAAGTCTACGTTTATCAAACGCATATTCATTGAACCTCTCACATGCAAGTACCAAAAGCAAAAGGAAGTCCAATTAATAACATAGTTTTAGAATAATTAATACGATACTTTAACCCTTAAAGAAATAAATAGTAAATTATTTTAATTATCGAATCATTAGTCATACATATATATATATATTATAATTGGCTAATAATTTTTTAACTAAAATTAATTTAATTATCTTGAATTTTGGCCTTTTATTATTATTATATACTTCTATTTTATTTTTACATAAACAATAATTATTTTAAAAAATAATTTATTTTTATTTTTTAACATTCTATAGGGTATGAAAATTATAAAACGTAATATATATATATATATATACGCGTTAGTTATTACTAAAACAATATTTAATGAGAGAAAAAATAAGTAATGGACGTGCATAAAGTATGGAGAGGTGGTTTGCATCTAATAACCAAAAAAGCATATATGTATGTTCCCTTAACTCCTATCAATAATATCCAATTTAAATCAAGAATTAGTGGCTCAAATTAATACATTAATATATTTATACATAAAGGGTTTATTCTATATATTTGCTTTTAATATTATATGGTTTTTAAAGGCAAAGAAGTAGCGGTGCCATTTACACACACCTACATATATATATATATATATATAACATAGCTACATAGGTAGAGTGGAAAAAGGTGATATAATTGATAAATTAAATTGAGAAAATGTGATTTACAAATTGGAGAGCCATGTTCTTCGCAATATACTTATATATAATTAAGAAGATGCAAATAATTAATTAAATAATTAATACTAATTAATTAATTGATCAAAAAGATACTGTCACGCCAAGCTGTTCCTTCATTGTATCTATGCACATAGGTAAGTGAATGGCCGCAATGATTGTCGGATTTAAAGAAATATAATGCTTTTTTTTAGCATGCTTTGTTAATTAATTAAGTTAATTAAGTTTTTAATTGAGAATTATCTTATAAAATATAACGTATTAAATCAGAACCAATTTTTATGAGGATTATACGAAGATTTTGGGTAAATAAAAGAGAAAATGTAAAATGGCGAATGAAGTTTTTTACTTGGAACCCAATTTTCCAAATTATGTTTGAAATATTGTTTTAAATAAAATTTAAAACAATATTATAAAAATGTTTTGAAAATACATTTTTTTAATTTTATCCCACGACAAAAAAAAATATTTCACGAAATATTATTTTTTAATAATGCTTAATTAACTAAAATTAAATTAAACACTCACGATTTTCTTTATACATTTTAATAAAATAAATAAATTATTATCATGAGCAAAAATACTCAAACCCGGCGAGGGAATCAAAGGACACATGGGGTGTGGGCCCACAATCGAAAGGAATAAATTAAAGCTACGAAATATACTACACTCGAGTTCATACACAACTAGTGCGAACACCACTTTCTAACCATTAGATCAAAAAGTGATTAAAATATTTTTAATCTAACGACTAAGAGCTCGGGCACACAATACTGTTTATGAGCACGATATACGTTATAATAAAACTAAAATAAAGTCCCGCGTTTCGCGGCACTTCTAAAACTACCCGCGCCTTACACTTTCACTAGCACGGCTTTCGCACGTGTCTTTTCTTCCTTTACCCCCAACATCCCCTGCACTGAACTCTCTCCATCTTACAGACCAGCTCAGTGACTCCCTCTCTCTCTCTCTCTCAACTGTTACACAAACGTACACACATATATATATATAGGGTGTGTGTGTGTGTGTATGTATTATTTTAAAGTAATAAAAAATGAAAAACAGTAAGCAATTAAGGTTTGATTTGGATAATAATCGGGATCTGTGCTCTAATCATCAGCTGTAAGTCATTATTATTTTATATTATTTATTTGTAATTATGGTTTTTGTGTGTTAAATGAAGTTATTATCCTTTCTGGTCAACGGGAAACTGTGTCAGGTCAACCCTCAGTTTCACACCTGCACTGCATGCCTCTCACGTGACCAGTCTGTCAACATTTTCCTTCCCCCCTAAATTCAATTAATTATATATTTTATTTTTAGCTAATTACAAACAATTAATTTGGGTTCAAAATATTGGATAAGTTTATTAAAAATTAATTTTCTTTGAAATTGTTAGACTAAGTTTATAAAAAAATATAATATTTTATCGAATTTAGTGGTACATAAAATTGTAAAATTTGATTTTATATAAAATTTAACATCTGCTTAATGAAATTTTAAATATATTATTTTCCTTGTTTAACAAATAAATAAAATATCCCAACAGAAATATCTACCATATTTTATTAACAATAAAATATTTAATAATAAAAAATAAAATTATATTTCATATTTGTTTAATAAAATAAATTTTAGAATTATTAGTTTTAGTTATTATCTATTTTAATTTTTTTGTAATAATAATATTATCACATGCAATATATATTGTTAATAATAAAAATGATAATTATTTTTCATTAACCAATCATAGTAAAATTAATAAAAATAAAAAATAATTAAGCATAATTTTTAAAGAAAACAATAGATAACATACATCATAGTCATAGATAATGCAATGCGATTGGCGGACGGTGCCATCAAACGTACCGTTAATGTGACATCAGATTCCGTCCGTTCCCGCCGCAACGTCGTTAGAGAAATGTCGTTTAATGATATAACGGAAGCAAAGCATTGAAATTTGTTAAACAGAAAGCCAATAGCTGTTTAAAAGATCTAAGCTAAGCAACACATTAGAGAGAGGTAGAGCGAGAGAGCCAAGAGTTTTTCTCAGACCCATAACCATGGTTCTTGTTTCACGAGAAAGAATAATATAAAAGACACTAAGCGGCTTCAACACAGAGAAAGGAAGGAGAAAGAGGAGGAGGAGAGAAGAAAGATATTTTTGGTCTATTTTCCAATCAGACTTCCAACACATTTTTCTACTCTCTCTCTTTCTGTATGTCTACCTCTGCGGAATTTGATCTCACCAGAGAGTTTCTCTAGTCTGTATCTTTTCAGAATTATCTTTCTGTCGGTTGAAGGATTCAGGAACTGTTTCTATACGTGATATTCTGGTAATTCGGATCGCAGGTTCATTTGTTTTTTAATTTTTTATTCTAGTTTTACAGTCGATTTGAATTCAGCTGGACTAACTGTTCTGAATCTTTTTGGTACCTTGTTTTGACTTAAAACGGTGAATTATGGATTAACAGCACGTTTTATTATTTTTTTTTGGTAATTCCGTTGTTAGATTGCTTCAAATCTGCGATTTCAAGGTCTAGACAGTTGATTTACCTCGGGAAGCCGAATTCAGTGGTTTAAGAATTTTTTCGGGAAAGTCAATTTACGGAAAGTTTGTCAAGGAAATCAGTTTTTCGAGGTTTTCTCTTCCGTCGGCTTTTTTCCAGCTGAATTGTTATCGAGGAAGTGAATGCGCCTCCGATCTCAGCCGGAGGCGCAGTATCTGTAAAGATAACGGAGTTTGCTCTCTCTATAGGAAGCAGATCTGAGGAGGAACTGGACATCCAATTCTGCAATTTGCCTTCTCTGTGAAATTCTGAGAATCCACTAATTCGGGAGTTAATCACTGAATTTTCACAGAATTCTTTTATTTGGGTCCAAAAGAAAAATTCGCAGCTGGAGATGGAGCTTCCTCAATCCCGTCCTTTTGAAGTCGAAGGTAATAATATTTTGGAGAAATTGATTTATTTACTTGTTTTTTTTACGTGTTACAAAAACTTGATTGGCGAAACAAAGCAACAAAAACATGCTGTTAATGCTGTGAGGGAGTGAGTGTTTCCAAGAAAAAAACTTTAATTATAAGCTTTTTCTACAGGGAGGAAACCGACGCATGACTTTCTATCACTGTACAGTCATTCAACTGTCCAGCAAGATCCAAGGCCACCTTCTCAAGGTAAATCAACTCATTCGTTCTCTTTCATTTAAGATCCCAAAAAAGCTGGTTTCTTCTTTTCTGTGTGTGTATTTTTTTTTATTCAAAATTACTGCTATAATTTATCTGAAGAGTTAAGATGTATATTTTCCCCTAAAATTCTGTAAACTGTCATCTTATAAGTCGATGATGAGCGGAAGGAAGAAGAAAGGGAAGAAGTAAATAATGGAAAAAAAAAAAAAAATCTTAAATTAAGGGATCACTGTTTGTGTGTGCACGTGACTAGCAATTTGAATCATGGATCTGGACCATGAATTTCGATGGGCCATAATGAAAGTAGGCTGCCAAATCCGAAAAGGAAAGGGGTTTAGAGTTCCGCAATCGGCACCATCGGATTGGTTTTGATGGGACCCGGGAGGAGAGTTAGACATTGATTTGACGAGTCACATGATTAACATCAAGCTTTAGGCAGTTGATCTTGTAATACGCACGCGCGTCACCTACTTGTGAACATATGATGATAATCATAAACCCAGAACGCTAGAATTGTAGGGGACGCTTACTTGCCCAAATTGGGCCAATCGTAGTTATAAAAGTCGATTGAATTGAACTGTTCACCCGTGCATCCTTTTTATGGGAATTGCAAAAACCAGAAAAGTTGAAAAGGAAACATAACATCCTCTGCAATTCTTATTAATTGCTTTCCATTTATGTTAAACTGTACTGTGGCCCTAATGTTAGACGCTTTTTTAATTACATTTTTAGTATTACAAGTTAAACAACCGATGCAGTGAAAGAGAGAGGAAACTGTCGCGAAGTAAATTTTCCCGATGTGCATGATTTGGTTCATTGCTTTTTTCAATATTCTTTTTTGCTTTAGAAAGTTAATGCCAGATATAGCCCAACCCTATCCACTACTGACCTTTGTTTCTACAATCATAATATCGACTTATATTCATTAATCTTTGCCCTCCACAACTTTATGGTGCTCTGATTAATCATGATAGCATAGACAAAATCATATTTAATTCATAGTCACGTTCACTTCTACCAAGTCCTTTACCTAGCACGTTCAGATCTAAATAATCTCTCTCTCTCTCTCTCTCTCTATATGTGTGTGTATATATATATATATATAAAATCCAATAACACCCTCTTATAGTAATTATATATGCCATTTATTTCGTAATTTATATGATACGTGCATGGCTCAATTAATTCAAAGATCTTGTCCAACTAGAGAGTGCTAGTATCGTGAAAAAGAATTAAGCTTAGATTTCTAAAGCCCAAGGGATGAAGACATGGTAATTGATATTATTTCTCTTCTCAAAGAGTACCATACGGTCTAGCTGCCACTGAACAAGGTTTTCTGTTTTCTTCGTGTCCGGAACACAGGTGCTAACTACCTGAAAACACATGATTTTCTACAACCACTGGAACAGGTAGGGAACACAAATACCAAGGAAGAAACCGGCTCTGAGATATCAACTTCTGAAAAACCGCCGCCGCCGGCCCCACCTCCTCCAATGGAGCACATTCTCCCTGGTGGAATTGGAACCTACAGTATAAGCCACATTTCTTATTTCAATCAAAGGGTTCCGAAGCCCGAAGGGACAGCATTCCCGGCAGCGCAGGCAAGTAGTAATGAGAGAAATGATGAGAACTCGAACTGCAGTTCTTACACGGGAAGTGGTTTCACTCTTTGGGAAGAATCTACTTTGAAGAAGGGAAAGACAGGGAAGGAGAATGCGGGAGAGAGACCCATTTTGAGAGGTAAATTTTTGTTTTGCTGTTTTAACTTTTTTGCTTTATGCAGCATGGTTAGCATTTGTCTTGAAATATTAATGCATGAGCATTATACGTACTTCCGCTGGAAAATTCCAAGATTCGGTTATCATTCATTCCTCTTGCATGTGCATGCAAAAGCATCACACCAGAAAGTCACCCATGTGAAGAAAGTAGCGTTGAGTGACCTCATTTATGAATTTGTAAGATCGTGTCTTTAGTACAGATAATATATATTGAGGCTTGTGTACTAACGTGCGTGAAAAGCCAAGTAACACCGACAGATTATTTACTAGTTTGTAGATTTCGGCGAAACAAGAAATCAGGAAACATAGGGCATATTATAGCAGGTTGCCTACAATAATTTTTGGAGTAGTTTATGGTGTGGTAGCTTACAGGGTGGTGCTAAAAAAATTGTAAAATCCTTGAAGTGTACTTCAATTAATGCGTACACTTAATTGACTCTGGGTTCTGAACTTCTCGTGATATTTTTTAATTTATGGAATCATCCATATTAACACGACGACGTGTAATCAACATATACTATAAGCGTTACAAAGGAAATTTTAAACTTTCAATTATTAATGGCCTCTGCAGCGGCCCAGTTTTTTGCAAGTGTGTCCGTTACATGGGCCGGTTCTTCAATATTCCAGCCCAATTATAGATTTCAGAGCCAGTGCCTGAAGCCCAATTCCTATAGGCACTGGTAGTGAAACGCAAAGAATGTGAAAAGCAAAAAGGAAAAATATTTACGAGTTAAAAAGCAATTAAAAGAAAAAAATATAGCTTACTTTTTCATTTTTTTGGCGGTTAACAGAAGCGGCGGGGAAGGTAGCGCAGTGGACGACGTCGGAGCGGCCGTCACAGTCGTCGAGTAATAACCATCGAAACAGCTTCAGCTCTCTCTCTTCGTCTCGGTAAGACGTTTTCTTTTTTTTCTTCTTTGAAGGTTAGGATTTTGTTCATGTTCATTATGATAGGATTGACGGGTGATTCTGTCAAACAGGTCATCAGCGCAGAAGAGCCAGAGCTTCATGGAAATGATAAAATCTGCCAAAGGAAGCACCCAGGAGGAAGATTTAGACGATGATGAAGAGTTCGTTCTCAAAAAGGAAATATCCACAACCCAGAAAGGTATATTACAGACAAAAACAGGCTCTTGTTGTTGATGTACGCTCTGCATAAATGTCCTGACTTTCTCTTTTTAGACTCTTTTGCAAAAGATATTTTAATTTCCTTACGTTAATATATAAATAAATAGTAGGTTCTTTCTCATTGGCTTAAATTTTTGGAATAATAAACAATTATTTAAAAAGTTTTACCCCGTTAATTAAAAAAGTTCCTGCATTTTTTGTTTTGCTTTCAAACGGATCTCATTTTACTTATCCTTGATTTTGGATTTTCCAAAAAGTTTGAGTCTTTGTTTATGTTAAAGGAGAATTGAGGGTGAAAGTGGACGGGAAGAACACTGGTGATCAGAAGCCCAACACACCACGTTCAAAGCATTCTGCGACGGAGCAGCGTAGAAGAAGCAAAATAAATGATAGGCAAGTCCGAAGAAACCGCGTTCCCGAGTTGTTAATCCAAACTACTCTGTTTCCTTTGTTCTAGAATATGCAGCTAGAGAACATGGTGTCGTGGGATACCGTAGATAACTGATTGCTCCTATTCATTTTGACACCTAAAAACAAGATTGATTTTGTCAATTCACTGAAGTTGAATAGCTATCGTGCAGATTCCAGATGTTGAGGGAGCTTATCCCACATAGTGACCAGAAGAGAGATAAGGCATCTTTCTTGTTGGAGGTGCATATTTGTCCTGTGATGATTTATTTTCCCTTCTTCATAAATTTTCTGTTTTCTAATTGTTGGAAGATTGAATTGCTGGCTCTTGCATGTAGGTCATAGAGTACATTCAGTTTTTACAGGAAAAAGTTCAGAAATATGAGGGGTCGTATCAGGGATGGAACCATGAACCAGCGAAACTAATTCCATGGGTACATCGGTTTCTTCCCTATTAATTTCTATGTAGATATGTATGGGCATAGTTTCTTTAGCAATCACCAGCTAGTAACCGACTGTAACAATTTTCCTTGAAACAGAAAAATAATCAGCGTGCAGCCGAAGGTTACGTCGATCAGTCTCGGGGTATAAAAAGTGGGTCGGCCCCTGCAGTAGTGTTTGCTTCCAAATTTGATGAGAAGAATGTTGTAGTTTCTCCAACCGTTCCTCTAAGTATGCAGAATCCTATTGAAACAGATATAAGCACAGCTACTACATTGAAAGCAATGGATCACCACCCTGTAATGATAAACAAACCAGTGCCTTCTCCAATGTTCCTACAGCCATGTTTCTCTCCTGTACAAGGTGGTGTATCGGTCGCTCTCCCGAGTAGAATGGCTTCGGATGCAGAGAATACTGCATCTCAGTCTCAGACATTTTCAAGTCACAGCAGGTCATGCAATAATGGGGTTGCTGTGGCTAGTGATAAGCTTAAAGAACAGGGCCTAACAATTGAAGGCGGCACAATTAGTATCTCAACTATATATTCTCGAGGGTAAGTTTTTTAAGCTTATTGTCAAGGGTCTGTTTATATATGTGTGTGTGTGTGTGTATAAAATGAAATAACAAGTACAGAAAACAAAAAATTCAGAATAATTTTTTCCAACTGTAGGCTCCATTTAGAACATTAAATCATTTTACAAATTTTATTTTATAATTTTACGTGTTTAGACATGCATTTATTTATTAAATTATCTACCAAATGCGAGTTTGTGAACTAGTCAAGAATAAACAAGAACTGTTTTTTTCAAAAAATTTTAAAAACATCATGTTATAATTTTTAAACAATATCCTCGGTTCTACTAATAAACTTTTCATGGTTGACCAATGTTTTTATGTACAAAATCCATATATACATTTAAGAAATTAGAAGTGTTTCCTTATAAAAAACCAACTCTAGAATATTTTTGGATGTTCCTATTTTCTTGGTTTCAGAGAATGTAAATGTGTCAATATATACAATCCACATCCTACGATTAAATCAGTAAAATCACCGGACGCTAATGTAATGCAAGAAGAGGACACTTCCTTTAGCTCCATCTTTAAGGCAAATATTGCACCTGTAGCACATGTTATATGTTAGTGTCCTCTGTTGAAGTTTAAAAAAATTAGTAGTAGCTTCACTGTGCTTTAGTTGATGGCATAAATGGCGTTGACAGGTTGTTAAACACTTTGACACAAGCGCTGCAAGGTTCTGGAGTGGATTTGTCACAGGCCAGCATCTCGGTGCAGATTGAACTTGGGAAGCGAGCGAGGATTCAAACAACTCCACTAATGTCCATGTCTAAGGTTTATTTCCCCTCCATTTCCAAAATTCCTTGCTTGTTGACTTTGGTAACAAACTCTACTCGTACTTCATACAAAATAGTAAGTCAATCTAATAATATTATGCATCCGGTGTATTTGGCATACGCTTTCAAAAGTACCGGAGAATCACACAAGTAGTTAGTAAAACTAGGAAGAAGAATAATTAACCTTGCTGTCTCAAGAAAACGTATAAACAGTGAGTAGCATTAGCAAAGTAATACATAAGAGGTGCTGAGATGTTAGGAAGGTATCGAATCGAAAATTTTGTGAATTCTAAATTCTCTCAGTTGTGGTATTTCTACTCATGTTTAGTTGATTCTGCGCAATTACAAGAGTTTGAATGAATAAGAAGGCAATTGCCCCACAAAAAATGAGTCCCTTTTATACATAAAAATGGTGGAGTAATACCATTTATTAGGGAAAACAACATTAGTATTTCTAGCTGCAGTTTTGAAGCAAATACACACAGACATTCATATAAACCGGATATTAATCGGATTCACATAATTGTTTTTCTGCATTTTTACTGCAGGATAATGAAATTACCCCTGGCAATCAAGGAACCATTCGTCCTAGAGTTGCAGGTGGTGAAGGCTCTGATCAACCCCTAAAGAAGGCAAAAACAAGCAAAAGCTAAGTTACAACAACTTCAGTATATTATTATTATTTTATAAAATTTTATTGATTCATTTTTTTGGGTAGTTGGCCTAGTTCACATAAGTTATTCAAGGAGAGAGGTGAGAAATCCTATATTGTACATGTGATGGCTTACAGTTCGTTTGGATCCATAGAAATCCTAACGAAATTCCTATGTACCATATAACTTTGATCTTCTACATTTTTTGTTTTTCTTTCTTAAAGAATTCTAATATTCATCACCACAGAGGCTTCCTGCTAATGTTGAGGAGCTGCATATTCATACAAGCCTTCCTTCATGTGAAGTTTTCCTTAAAACTGTTACCATAATCTTTCTGAAATTGTTCCTATTGAACCTAATTTATGTGTCGATGCCAATACCCTATTCGGCTCAAATTTATCATTCGCATTTGAATGTACAAACTTTATTTTTATGGAGTCTGAAGAGGTGATCAGTTTCCAATTGTTTGTGGAGAAAAGACAAGTAGAAAAATATTAATAGTTTGTAAATCAATTTGAAGCACATTTTCTCATGAAATAAATTGCGTATGTTTTTGTTGAAATTTTTTTGTTGTTGGGGGGTGGCTTTGAATAAAAATAAATGATAATTAAGATTAAAAAAAAAAAGAAAAAGAGAATATTTAAATATTTTAGTTAAAAGATTTTTAATTATTAAATTTAAAATCTCCGACTCAAAAAATAGTTATATACGACACAAAAATTCTATAAAATCCTTTTTCTTTAAAAGTCAAAAGAAACGTAAACATGCTGGTATGTGTAATCTCTACTTTTATACTTGTATTTTTGGACCACTGGAAGCTGAAGAACATAAATTTATCTATATATATATATATATTGTAAAGAATCGAAATTAAAAAAAAAACATGTATATATTAAATGTGATATTCTGATTAATTAATTTTAATGTAATTAAAATTAGTGTATAAATATAGTTTTTTAATTTTTTAATTCTTATTTAATATAAAAATGAAGAAAATTAAATAGAAAATGAAATTGAAAATAATTTTAGAAAAAATATGTAAAAATTCGGGTTTTGAGGGTATTTTTGAAAGAAAATTAGAAAATTGGGAATCAAAACTTAATTTTAAAAAATTGTGTCACGTAATACGCACAATCAGCAGCCACGACGAATAGGAGCATGCCACGTGGCAGAGGACGTTGACGCGGTGCCACAGGAGGCCACACTGGCGATCTGCATGTCCGCGATCGAAAGGTCTAGATTTGTTCCCACGCACACAGACGATCCGGATCCGTTTCCTCCTCAAACGCAATCAGATGGTCAGATTTAAACACGATGAACGGTTGAGTTACACTTTCTATTTAAACGTGATCAGACAGCGTAGATCAAATCGCGATGAACTATCCAGATTCACTTCCTATTTAAACGCGATTAAACGGTTCAAATCAAACGCAATGGACGGTTCAGATCAAATCACGTTGGGTATAAATAACCCTCTTCACACAAAAACTCTAACCCTACCCGCCAGATCCCCCCCCCCCCCCCCTGGAGAAGAAGACCCAGTCGTCGGGAAGGGAGCCGACCGCTGCGCCAGAGCCACTTCCAACTGCCAAAACAGGTAAAAAAAATTTACTTTACTCGAAATTCTATTTTAAATACCCCTATGGCCAAATCGGAGTAAAATGACTAGTGGGTTGGCCGAAAATCGCGGGCAAAGCCCAGCGGTACCGGCCTGGGAAAAAGCAAAAATCGCATCCGATGATGCCCTTTTCGATTCCCATTTCATGTAATTTTTTCACCATTGTAATCACCATTCCTTTCTCTATAGCTTGATTGAAGCAAAACACACAACCGCAAAGGTGAATCAGCAGAGCTGTTGCACTAGAGAACCCCGCCGCTGGTAAGTTTCGATTTTTCGACTTTTTTCGGCCAACTAATGCCCCTTAACGTGTTTTCTTGCATGGATTGATACAAAACCAACCGAAAACAACCAACCCGAGGCAAAAAACTGCCGCGGGCGGTGGTGCCGTTGCTGGGCATGGCGGAGCACCGTGTCAGAATTCTAAAATTAGCCAAAAAGGGTTCCTAACACTGATTTTGGATTTTTTAGGATATTTCTAGGTACTTCAAGCGCGTTTTAATTCCTGAAGGAAAATTCAGGGAACCCGGAGATTGCCAATAGACGCAATCAAAAGTTTAGCATTTCAGACATCAATTTGAGTAAGAATCTCTAACCTTATTCTCTATTATGGAATTGAAGTTTAATTTAAATAATATGGTATTTCGTAAAATTTAAAAAATATTCATAATTAATTATGGGTTACTAATAGAGTCGGAATCGGTTATTTACTATTGTTTGTCATGTTTAACAGATTGCCTGATTTTACAGTTTTTGAATGCATGATAATATACTGAAATTGATATATGCGATTGTATTCCTTTGATGCATGTTTTGCTTGTTTTATGTAATTACAGTTGAATTAGAAAACTGAAAATTAAATGTAAACGAGAAATTATTTGATTAAGTGAATGGATGAAACCGCAATCTTACTAGATATCCTACGAGATGGTAGACAAACTGGGTACATAGGGAACCTTACCGTAAACGTTGTCTCATACCGGACGGGGTATTAAGGCTTGGTAATTTCTCGCTCATAAGACGGAGTGTGGGGACAGCCCGTTTTACCTATATACCGGACGAGATATCGAGATTTGGTAATTTGACGTTCATACCGGACGAGTTATAGGGGAATCCGTTAATTGAAAATGTTAAAAAAAAAGCGG